GTATGGTCTAGGATAGGAGAACTATCATCTTGTATACCAGTCTTCTCAGTGCAGCTTGTAGTAGCATTAGCATTTTTGCTACCATGTCACACTCACATTGAACTTACAATCCCCCTCCAAATTCAGATCTTTTCCAAATGTGTACTGGGTCCCCCTATTGTGGCCTCCCTCATAGCTGCACTCAGCTACATGCTATTATCAGAGTAGTCACCTATTCAAATTCATAGCTTGGAGTTCCCATAAATTTACTTCTTTATATCAAACCAAGCCAGATGATACAGGAATTCAAAATAAAAGACAGCTTATGAAACAATATAAGGAAATAAGAAATTAAATCAGCTATTAAACCCTTTTGACATTCACTACACAATGACTGTTACCCCTATCTATCTCCCAGGAGTGCTAGTTGACGTATCATTAGTTCCCATCTCCCAAACACAAGAGAAGAAGGACATAAAAGTTCATTCAGAGAAAGTTTCCAAAGTGGAAGTCTTAAGAATGATAACTATTCTGAATGGCATCTAAAAGACAATGTAAAAGTCACTGTTGATTTATTTCAGTGCAGCAACTACTACTATCTAGGGTGAGATGCAAAGAACAAGGAAGTGGCAGGTCCAGTTGGGAGAGATAATGAATCTGTTAGATTACAAAATCACAGAATATTAGAGCCAGAAGAGACTTTAGATTCAATTTCCACTTAATGCCCCCACTTTATAGATAATGAAATTGAGACTCATAGAGAGCAAAGGACTTGCCCAAGATCACACAGGTAGAAAAATAAACCAACACTCAAATCCAGGTCTTCTGATTTCAGTTCAGTGAACTTTCCATTGTATACAACACCACCCAACACCTATTTTGTTTCTCTTATCTCTATCAAGGAAAATAATCTTCAGACTGAAAATGAGCAAATAAAAATGGCTCAGGGGGATTTGGACTCTAAAGTGAAATGGATTCTTTCACCCAGTACTTTCACTATTTTCCTTTAAGTGGCCACTGAAAGTATTGGGGGAAAGAGTCCATTTCACTTTAGAGTCCATGATGGCCATATTCCTCAGAGAGGAAAATGGAAACTCTATCATCCCTAGGGAATGGGCCTTTACTGTGCTCTTGATCAGCTATGTCCTGATAAAATATTGGTATTTCTCTCTTCCAAACCCCTCTGTGAAATTCATCTCATCCATTTCCACTTAACCAATGGTAGCACAAGACCGTATACTGGACCACTCCCCCATTTCTATAACTGAGTCAGAACCCATTTCCTCCAGTAAGCTTTCATGGTATGGACTGGGGTAGTCAGGAAAGGCCTCTTAAAGAAGGTACTAGGCCATCTCCAGTCATCCTGATCTATATCTAGCCCCTGGACCCAGACGGCTCCAGAGGATAAAGTGAGGTTGGTGACTTCGAACAGTTCTCCCTCACTGAAATCCAGTTCCCTCACATTTCATCGCATCTCCTCCCTGATGTCATAGTCCTCTTTTAGAACAAGCAGCAGCAGCATCCCTCTCACTAGTCATATATCCTTTCCTTTTGAAAGGATATGTCTTTCCATCTGAAAGGTTCCCTGAGCCCCTACATCCCTCAAAGAGCCCATCTCTGGTCCTTCATCCTATGTGTAATACAAAGAGCCTCCAGCTAAGAATCAGAAGACCTGGGTTCTAGTTCCAGTTCTCTTATTAACTAGATATATGACCCTAGGCAAGTCATTTCCTCTCTCTAGGCTTCAGTTTCCTAGTTCTTAAATGAATGGGGAGGAAGGGAGGAATGGCAGGAGATTCCACTAGCTCACCTCAAAGCCAGCTCTAGAGGTTTCAAATTCTCCCCTTTCCTTTCTCACCTTGTAACCCAAGACTAGAATCTTATTATCCCTGTCTTTACCCAAAAAATCCACAGGAGGCCTCCCCTCCTCTGGATCTTTCCTCTTTTTCTAACTACCAGAGGTATCTCAGTGAAGGGAAGTGAGGAAAGAGGGCTTTCAAATAAAGAGCTGGGCTCCCTGCCCTCAAGAACCCAGCCCTCCAATTTCCTGCCTTTTCAATGCTTTGTGTCTGAGGACCTAGACTGAAAAAGAAGGGAGGGGAGTTGCTATAGATCTACCTGCCTCTCAGATCTCACAGCCCCTCTACCTATATAAGCTACCCAAGGTGGGCTTGAGAGAGAGAAGAAGATAAAGGAAAGCAAGGAGAAGAGAGACAAGGAAGAGGGAAAGAAAGATTTCAAAGTGAGAAGAAAGAAAAGAGTAAAGGGATGCAGAAAGGGCAGAACAGGAAAAAAGAGAAGAGAGATATAAATAGAAAAGAGGAGAGAGAGAGAGAGAGAGAGAGAGAGAGAGAGAGAGAGAGAGAGAGAGAGAGAGACAGAGAGAGAGGGAGAGAGAGAGAGAGAGAGGTTTCTGGCTTTACCAGGAAACCTTGCTCCGGCCCTGGAAAGAGGGGCCTTTTCATGAAGGAACTGAAGGCACCTATTCAGACGCTGAGGGGCTGTTGCAATTAGAAGGGGGAAAAAAATTAACCCAATAGCAATTTCATGGGAAAAAAAATAATAAAGTGGGTCGTCGGGAGCCCCCACCTTTCGGAGTGAACTGGGAAAGGACCAAAGGATAGAGTGGTGAAGGGACTGATGGACACACTAAGGACCACAGAGGGGCAGCCCCATTCTCTAGGGCCACGTAGACCCTGGAATGGGGGCATAATCCCTCTGTGTTCTGCCTAAATTTCCCTTCCCCAGCCATCCTCTTCTCAAGAACCCAAAACCTGAAGTGGGGGGCGTGGGGTGGGGGAAAAGAAAGAAAAAAAATCAACTCCCTCTCCCCAAAGCCAATTCCCCGGGCCACCAGGGGATATGAATGAACCGGTCCAGCGGGAATGTTGGAACAAATGCCCTGGATTCCATCAGCATCCAGCACACACAAACTGTGGAAAGGACTCACGGTCTGGGTTCGGAGGTTATTGGGGTGGGGGTGGGGGGCTCATGGCGTCCCCCTCCCTGCCCTATAACCTGGACTTCAGGACTCCTCCCCCAATTCATCCCTCCTCTCCCCTTCGTCCTCCTCCTCCCCCTCCCCTCCCTGTAAACACTGTCAGTGTAGTGTTCCGGGCCGGAGTAGCTGGGTAGCGAAGAAGGGAACCAGAGGAAAAGACAGCGAGAAAGGGACAGAGAAAGAGCGAGGCAGGAAAAACAGACGTGGAAACAGAATTAGGGAGAGAGACAGCCTGGAAAGAGAGAAAGGAGGCCGAGGACCAGAGGAGTGGGGTGGACGAGGTGGGGAGGAGCAGGAGGAGGGCGGGGGCAGGGAGGGGGAGTAGGAAGGGGCCCCGGCGCCTGATGAAGTCCCCCCGGGATCGCGGACGGGGCGCTGTCCTCGGGGGGCCGTCGGGGGGTCCCCGACATCCATGGCAAAGTGGGGCCAGAGGCTACCGTCTCAGAGTAAGTGTTAGTGTGTGTATTTGTGTGGAGTGTGCATGTAATGTGAGGGTGGAGTGGATGTGCTGGGAGCTCGGAGTTAGGACAGATGGGGAGCCGAGCAGGCCGGGGGTCCTGTACCTTTCCCTTCCTATGACGCCGTCTTGGGGCAGCCTGCTAGGGTAGCAGCCCCAGGGCCCAGAGCCCGCCCTCCTCCCTCTCCGCTTCGGGGCTTTTTTGGAAACTTGCAAATATTTTCGGGGGATGGGGGTGGGGGCGAGACAGAGCGAAGAGGGAGAAGGACATCAGAACCAGAGACTGAAAGAAAAAGAGACAGAGGTGGAGGCAGAGACTGAGAAGAGACAGATGGAGAGAGCAACTACAGAAAGAGAAAGGGAGAGGGGAGGTAAGGAGAGACAGACACTGAGAGAGACCCAAACGGAGGGGAGGGGGACGCCTGGAGGAAGGCAGAGAAAGTCGGAGAAAAAAGATCTAGGGAGACTGAGAGGGAAACAGACTGAAAGGGAGCCCGAGAGACCGGCAGACTCAGGCGGAAGAAAAAAGAAAGACAGAGACTGAGTTGGACAGGCAGACAGTGCGAGGGGGCTGGGGGAAGGAGGGGAAGCAGATCCTGGGCCCAAAGACTGAAAATGAGGGAATGAGAGGGAAGCCGCCGGGCCGGCGGGCCAGGCCCGGGAAGGGAGGGAAGGGAGGGAAAAGAGGGAAGGGATGGGAGGAGAAGGGGCCGGGGCTGGGGACGGGAGCTGGCGGCCGCCAGCCTCCGACTACTGTAGGTTTGAGTGTTGTTGCAAAGTTAAACAAGACTTTCTCCCCCCACGACCAGGCGCTGTTTAAATTGCAGAAAAACGCTACCCCACAACCCCCATCCTTCCCCTCCCCTTCACTGTCTCCTTCGCCGCTCTCCTTCCCCCGTTCCCTAGAAACCTGGAAAAGATAAAATTACCAGATCTAAAAATACACCCGGACTTCGGCGACCACCCTTTACCCAGTCCCGCCCACTCCCCCTCTGGGCCCCGACCACTCCCCTTCCCCAGCCCATTCCCCCTTTCCCCCCAGTCCAAACCACTCCTCCTCCCCCACCCCCGCCTGACCACTCCCCTTCCCCAACCCATCTCATCCTCCTACTACCCCTTTCCCAATCCACTCCTTAATCGCATCCCACCCACCCCCATCTCTCTCCTCTCCATTCTCATCCCCACCTCATTACCACTCCCCATACCACTCCTACCCCAGCTCCCTTTTTACCCCCTCAACACCCCCACGTGCCGGCTCCCACACCCCCTAGCCTCCACCCCTCCACACACACAAGGAGACCGGCATCCACAACCCCCGTACTCCTTAGTCCACATCGCCCCAGGCCCCTCTCCCTCGTAGCCCCCCAGGATCCCAACCCCCTGCAGCCTCTGCAACCCCCAGGCCACACCCCCGTCTTTGCTACCCCCACCCCACCCCCAGAGCGTTGGACAAAACCACGACTCGAACTTCCCATTAAGGGGAGGGGGGAAGTTGGGGGCGGGACTGGGAGGGGGAGAAAAGCGGCTCTGACATATGGATGTGATTTCCCTGCTCCGAGGCAGATACCCAGCAAGCTAACCCAGCGCACTGCGCTCTTCTCGCCCTCTCCGCTTGCTCTCCGACTCGGTCGCGTTCGCCCAGCACATGGAGCCAGTGCCGGGCTCTGGGGCTTTCCAGAGCCTCGGGAGGGGACGTCCAGAGCCTCAGGGCGGTAGCCTCTGCCTCCGCCTCTTTCTTGCAGCCTAGGTCTAGGAACGAACCCCCGGAGATCCAGAAGAAAGAGGGCAAAGGGAGAGAGGGGGGCGAGGGGGGCGAAGACGCCTCCTGCGCCCCCTCGGCTAACCCGCAGGCCTTCCCTTCTCTCCTCGCCATCACCGCCACCCCTCCCTCCTGGCCCGGCCCGCCTGTTCTGGCCCGGCCCATTCTGTCCCCAGCCCCGCTGGACTCGGCCCTAGGGAACGGCGGCGATGGGAGCGCCCCGGATCTCGCACAGCCTTGCCTTGCTCCTCTGCTGCTCCGTGCTCAGCTCCGTGTACGCACTGGTAAGTCCCTCTGTAACTCCCTCAGACCTTCCGACCGTTTTCTCCTTCCGTGGGCGGGGGCGGGGGAGGTGTGTAAAGGGGGGGGACAGGACAGGAGCAGACCCGTCTAGGGAAGGGGTCTCCTGTCTCTCCACTGTCCTGGAATTTGCAGACACCTTCATCCTCACCCAGAGGCAGACTCGTGGCTGGAGATGACAGCCTGAGGCAAACATGGGGGGGGGAGAGGGAGAAAGGGAGGGTGAAGAGGTCACCTCTTAGGAAAAGGAGCTGGACTGGAGAGGGAGATGGAGATGAGCTAGAGTTCTTTAAGAGTTTGGGGGGCAAAGTTGAAGAGTTCCTTCAGGGGAACTTGATGGCTTTGCTTTTAAGACTCTCATCTCCCTTGGCAGCTATGTAAGGGTCCCCAAAAGGTCCTTGGGAGCTCTATTTGAGCTCCATGGATATTATGACTATGTATTTGTGGGTTCCTCTCAGAAGCTGTTGGTCTGTTTTTAGGGCTTCCCCAGGGAGTCCTTGTTGGGTCTGTGTCTAAGGTGTCCCTCCCAGGGGTTCTTGGTGGCCTTGTTTTTAGACATTCTCTTAGGTATCCTTAGTATAACAGTGTTTAGGGATCTACCCCAGAAACCCTTGATGAATCTATTTTTAAGAGTTGCCCCAGGAGCCCTTGGTCATTCTGAGTTTAGGGTTCCCATCCCCAGGCATTTTGTTAGCTCTGTGTCTAAGGCGGTCTCCTCCGGGGTTCTAGGAAGTTCTGGTTAAGACCTCCTCCCTAAAGGTCTTTGGTGGATCTGTGTTCAGGGTTTCCCTCTCCAAAGGAGTTTGTACTGTCTGTGTTACCAGGGTCCCCCTTCCATCATTTCTGGGTATCTTGTCTACATCTCCCCCATGAGTTCTTGGCAGCTCTGTGTTTGGAGGTGAACCACAGTAGTCCTTAACTATGCTGTGCTTAGCAGTTCCCTCTGGAATCCTTGGTTGCTGTTTAGAAATTCCCCTTCCAGAAGTCCCTTGGGGTCTCCTGTGTCTAAAGGGTCCTCCCCAGGGCTTTTTGGTATCAATGCATTTAGATCTTCTCCCTAAAGACAGTTGGCAGACCTGTGCCAAAGGCTCCCCTTCCCAGGGGTCCTGTGTTGGAGGTTCCTTTTAACTGGGCCCTGGTCATATTGTATTTAAGCATTCCCTAGTTCCAAGTCCTTTGATTATCCTGTATTTACCAGTACTTCTGAGGTTTCTTGGCAGCTTAGTTATATAGGGGTTCCTTGAAATCTCCAGGAGGTCAGCTTTAGGCTTTCTCACCAAGAGTATAATCCCAGCCAGCAAGAGTACAGGATGTTGGGGTGGGTCTTAGGCTAGGGAGAATGCTTCTCCTTCACGGAACATTTCAACTCTCCTAGTACTCAGAAAGGTTGTCTATGGATGGCATCAGGAGAGCCATAAATGACTTGGGAGAGGGTATACCTCTGAAGGAGCAGGATCCCATATCCAAGCTCCCTTAAAGATCTATCTCCTGACTCACGAGAGCTGCTTATTTATTCTAAATGGGAACTCAAGTAAATGAGGTGACAAATCTCAAGGGGAGGATTAGTGCCTTGTCTATGGGCTGAGAAAATACTGGGAGACAGAGAGACAGGTTAAACTAGAAGGAGGTAGAGGGATGGAGAAGAAAGAAATGGAGATAGAACTGAACAGAGAAAACTTGGGACAGAGTGAAAAAAGAGGGACAAGGAGAAAGACTGAAAAAAAAAGAGAGAGAAAGAAGGAATCAATATAGAGGGAGAGACAGAGAAGGAGAGAGATAGGGAAAGGAGGGAAAGATAGGAAAAGACAGAAGGACAGTGGCAGAGAGAAAAAAGGAAAGAATAAAGGGAGAGAGAGAGAGAGCACCTTTTTTTTTTTAAGCTAGATCACAGACATGCCTCTAAGTCTCCCCAGAAGAAAGGCTGGAGAGAAATTTGTAAAAAGGATTCCTGCTGATCTAGAAGAAAAGAGGGGGCTAGACTAGCTGATCTCTAGGTCCCTTCCAGCTTTAAATCCTATAATTCTATGATCTGGAAGGTCCTTATCCATCTTAGAGATTCAAAAATTCTATGAGCCAATGATCCCAATGCTTAGTCCTCATGGTAAGATGCCATGAGAACCATATGGCTAGTTTTCTGTACCATCTGGCTAGTTTTCTGTACCATCCACTTGCCATTTCATGGGATCACAGATATTATAGCATTTAGAGCTGGAACAAATCTCAGCGCCTAGCTGAACCCCATCACTTCACAGATGAGGAAGCTGAGGCCAAGAGAAGGAAAATGAGTGTCCGAAGGCCACACAGTAAGTTTCAGGGCAGGGACTGCCTCACACAACACCTTCATCAAGGGTTCCCAGTGATCCATCTTCTCCCACTTCACAACTACACTCTACCCAAGTAATTCTTTCTCTTCTTCTCCCCACCCCAGTTTCCCTCCACTCTCCCCACCTCATCCCGTCAACAGTGTAGCATCCTGTATTCCACCCTCTCGGGATACTATTCTCTGACCTAGCTAACTCCTGATCGACTAAGCCTTTTGCTAATAATAATCATAATTGTAATAATTCATAGACGGTTAGAACTTGGGGACTGGACTAATCGTCGGCAAATGGGGCTTCTGAGACAACATTTCCTGTAATAGGAAGATCGCTAGATTTGGGGCCAAAAGACCTGGGTCCAAGGTCTTCAGATGCCAACCCTGCCAACAGCTAGTCTCACCATAGGAAAGGTAACTCCCGTCTATAAACCTCAGTGCCTTCATCTGAAAAATGAGGGTGAATGATAAGATAATCCTTAAGGCACCCCTCCAGTTCGGAGGTTGTATCATTCTATGATTTCAATGATGGTGACCTTTTTTCCCCCTTCTGTTTCAGAGGATACAGATATAATTTCCTATTAAATATGCAATTGTGCATGTATCAAAATACTTCCAGCTCTGTGATTTATCTGTAATAGCTTACATTTAAATTGCTCTCTCTTACTCTGTTTGTAGCTAGAAGCACAGCTAGCCCCCAGAGAGCATCTGGACTCGAAGACTGGGGTGTGGTCTTCTAGTGCTCCTTGGGCTGGTTAGAGGAGGTGGAAATCAGATTCTCATTGGGAAGGATAGGGTCCCAGCCCCAGCCACAGCCTGTCTGTCCCCCTGACAAACAAGGCCAGTGCCAGGTTGAGATAAGACAAGAGTCAAGCCATTTCTGGGTTCCAGACATCTCATCTGGCCCTAGAGCCTGAGCCATATCCTACCTGTTTTTCCCTTCAGTCCCAAGAGGCTGACATCTAGAGTATGTTGGATTTCATACTTTTAGAGGGAAGCTAGGTTCACTGGGGCCAGTGGGAAGAGCATCATTGAGTCTATCTGAAGTGAGGATCCTGAGAGTGTGAGTGTCAGATGTGTTATGGTGTCAGACAGTATGAAAACATACAAGTGTATCTTTATATTACATATACACATACATACATATGTATGTGCATGTGTGTGTAAGCATGAGTAGGTATTACATGCCTATGTTTATATGTGTATATATCTCTGACAATGAAAATGTATGTGTCTCTATGCATATGAATGAATATATGGGTATGAGTGTCTTCAATTGTTTGTTAGGAAATATGGTATGTCAAAATTTATATGTATGTGTGAGTGTGCATGTATATGTATATGTCCAAGTGTGGGAATATATGCTCCTCTGTGTGTGTGTATGAGCTAGAGAGATGAAGGGTGATGGTGAAGAGAGAGAGAATGGAGAGAGAGTGACGAGACAGAAACAGAGACAGAAATTTGGAGGGATCCACATTCAGTGTCTGGACAAATGTAGTATGGTGTTTAGGAATAAGAGGAGGAAAAAAATATGAATCCTGGGGTCAGTGGGTTTTAATGTAAGTGAGAATTTGTATTTAGATGAAAATTATTCAAGACAGCAGTTTTAAAATATGCACAGCTGTATAGATGGAGTCTAAGAAGCATCAAAGTGTGTTTGAAAAGTTGGGATCCAGGGAACATGCATGGGAAATAGGAACCGTTCCCTGGGTTTGGAGTTATCACACCTGAGTTCAAATGAAAATTTTCCCATTTAGTACCTGTGTTACTTCACACAAGTCACTTAACCTATTTGGGCCTCAGTTTCCTTATTTGTAAAAGGAAGGGGTTTGGGCTAGGTTTTCTCTAAGTTCCCTTCCAGTTTAAGGAAAGGATTCTAAGTTCCCTCTGGCCATAGAGTACCACTTTAAGGTTCATGTCCTATGAGGAACCAGCAGGGTCTTGAGCCCCCAATGCCCCTCCCAATCACCAATAATAATAACTGACATTTATGTAATGTTTTCCATATATTATCTCATTTGAGGTCAGCATTACATTTATCATCACCATTTTACAAACGAGGGAAGGTGATGAGATTCTCCAATTCTAAGTGCCAAGAGCTTAATTTTGGGGCTAAGGGCTTTGTGATGAGATGACAGGAGGTCAGTGAGTGGGTTGAAGGTTCAGTGAGGGAGATGAAGGGTTAATGAGAGGAATGGGGCTCAAGGATTTGGTTGGAGAGTCTGTGAAAAGAGCTCGAATTTTTATAAGGAATAGGGGCTCAGTGATGGGGACGAAGAGATAAGTGCTTAGTGAAGAGAAGAATAGAGTTCCATGAAGGGATGAGGAGCTCATCGAAGGAACAGGGGCTCCAGCAACGAAGAATTCAGTGCAAGTATTAGGAGATACTGTCTGTCACACTGCTGTCGGTTTTCTGTGCCCAAAGAGATCTCCTTTCCTCCTTCTTTCCCCTCCTTCCCCAGCTATCACCTTATCTATTTCTGGCCATCTACCAGGGGTCTGAGCCCTGAGTGAGAGTCTGGCCAACTTCCAGTTTTCCTCTTGCTGAGCTCGGTCTGTACCATCCTTCCCATGTCAGGGATCAATCAAGATATTTTCTCGACAATGGACCCATCCACTTTGTACAAGACACAAACACTGATGGATTATTTAGCTCTCCAGCCAAGCCCA